TTATTCTTTCTCACTCAATAACCACTTGCGTCTGAGTGGCTTTATTACCTTGTTTGGGGTATGAAATATTTAAGAGAAACACTCCAAAATGGATCACGTATCTTCCTGTTAATTAAACGTGATTCTTTCTTCTAATAATTATATTTGACCTTATATGACCCATGTAAGTGTTGCTATGCCGTTAAGTTAATCAGTCTGACGTTTTCAATACATTGGGTTCAAACAAAAGTTTGCAGAATTTTCGGTGACATTGGAACATGAGAGTTCGTTTCACACGTGATTGGAATTTATGAAACGTGTACATAGATAAGGTAACGTTTCAACGCGGTCTATAGATTTTGAAAAATAAAAGTTTTTGCGTATAAAACGAAAAATGGAAGAACGTGAAATGCATTTTCATCATTTGACAGTGTTTTATTTCCGGGGAGGGACCATACGCTGTTCAAACAGTAAAAAACTTATATGTGCCGTTTATGTTGATGGTGCCGTAGCTGAAAGTACAGTTGGTAATTGGTTCCCTAGGTGCAGAAAGGGAACTATTTATCCGGAAGCACGAAAAGCTTGCAGCAGGCATCCAGTCATAGATGGCAACCAGATCGAAACTGACTAAAAACAAATCCAGGTCACAAGAGATGGGATATCGCCGAAATACTCCACTGGTTTCATATTTAGTGTCGTAATGTATTTTCTAAATATCTGGATACGCGAATCCCTTCCATGTTTTTATTGTACTGCAATTTAACATGAAATAAATCCATCCAACGCATCTTCACTGTTATTCTCAGCTTATTTCTCTACACAAGCGATGAAAAGTATTTGTTTACAACAATGTGGAGAGAAAAAAATCCCTGGGGAAAACGAAATTGCTCATCATTAAACACCTCAAACTCCGTTCTGCATCAGACAATAGTGATCTTTGTTTGCAATGATATTCACCCTGTACAGAACCCAAGAGCCACTCGAGGTATATACAAATTAAGAGGCACACTTTATGTGGGAAAGGCAACGGTTAATTCTAGACTTGAACAGGTTAAAATTGTATAGATCGAGGGATCATCTTCTATAGGCTGTATTTATACTCGCGTCTTTAGGACGTGTTAATAGTTAAGTATATTAAGTAGACGTATACTTGAGTCTATATACTGTTTTTAACTTAAGCCTATCGGGAGATATTGGTCTTGTTTATGCTTTTTTTAAATCATTTCACCATAAGTAAGGCAATAAAGCCCCTAAGACGCAAGAGTTTACAAGGTCTTACACATAAAAACAATGCACGATAAAGGAGAGATATCAATCAAAGCACAATAATTAGGAAGACAGAAGATAACGACAAAATTTAAGTTTTAGAAAAAAAAAAGCGTACCCAAGAACAGCAGTCCCCAATTTTTCCCCATGGACCGGAATCATGCAAGTCAGTTTTTCCATGGCCAGGGCATGGTGGTACGTAGCGATCACGCACATAAAAGGATACCATAAACAAGACCGTGATAATCAATAAAATGGAAAATTATTGGTCTATGGCCCGTTACTAAACGGTCTATGGCCCGGTACCAAACGGTCTACGGCCCGGTAACCAATGGTCTATGGCCCGATACCAGATGGTCTACGGCTCGGAACCAAATGTTCTACGGCCCGGTACCAAACGGTCTACGGCCCGGTAACAAATGGTCTATGGACCGATACCAGACGGTCTACGGCCCGGTAACAAACCGGTCTACGGTCCGGTAACAAACGGTCTACGGCCCGGTAACAAACGGTCTACGGCCCGGTAACAAATGATCTATGGCCCGATACCAGACGGTCTACGGCCCGATACCAGACGGTCTACGGCCCGGTAACAAATGGTCTATGGCCCGATACCAGACGGTCTACGGCTCGGAACCAAATGTTCTACGGCCCGGTACCAAACGGTTCGGCCCGGTAACGGCCCGGTACCAGACGTTCTAAACGGTCTACGGCCCGGTAACAAATGGTCTATGGCCCGATACCAGACGGTCTACGGCCCGATACCAAACTGTCTACGGCCCGGTAACAAATGGTCTATGGCCCGATACCAGACGGTCTACGGCCCGGTAACAAACGGTCTACGGCCCGGTAACAAATGGTCTATGGCCCGATACCAGACGGTCTACGGCCCGGTAACAAACGGTCTACGGCCCGGTAACAAAATGGTCTATGGCCCGATACCAGACAGTCTACGCCCCGTTACCAAACGGTCTGCGGCCCGTTACCAAACGGTCTACGGCCCGGTACCGGTCTGCAACTCGGTGGTTAGGTACCTCTGCCCTAGAACAAACTGGAGCCTATTAACGATTTACTGTGGAAACTCTTTAATGCAACCTGATTCCAATTTATATCGCATAAAAATCACATTAAATTATATTTCGCCCATGCTCCCAGTTGATTATTGTTCAAAGATACAATACTAGCAACGCATCGAACTCCACCTTTTATTAAAATAAACTCTCTATAATATGAACAGTCTTCGAGATAATATTACAAAGTGGCGTACTACAGCGGGCGCCCTTTAGTTGTCAGCACTGACATGTCTATCATAGCAAAGAGGAAGTATTTCACTTTGAAATGTATTTGTCTATGCATGAACATCAAAATGAAAATAAGAGATTGTCACAATCTGTAACTGTTTTTTTTTTATTTCTCCATATTTTATGCATGTTCTCCTGGAAGTCGGGGAGGGTGACATGCGCATTTAAAAGGATAGAAAGAAGAGACACCTGAACAAAAGCCATTGGAGAAAACAAAAACAAACCAAACAAAAACGAGAAAAGCAAACGCAAAGTGTATGGTAGCCCCTAGCAACAACATCCGAAGCGATCTCAACCTTTTTGAAAGAAACGGCGACCGAGAGTCGTGTTGGTATCACTGCAAACAAGGCGAGCGATGAAATAATATTTTATTATGATTTCAATTTTGTAAGCCGTTCGTCTTTTCTAGAGGCGATCACGATTGAAAACTTTATGATTCTTCTGAACATTTTTCCACCGGTGGAGGTTCGTGTCATCGAGTAATTTCTACTGAATGCCGTCATGTTGTGGCAAACTTTGGCGTAGCTTCCGGCTACTGCATGGGCCTTCCGTTACGGTCTGAACGCCAACTTCCGGTTTTTCTTTGGTTTGTATATACTAATCCCACAATACTATGCGCACTTGTGTGAAAGAATTTTTCAGAAAGGCTTATGGCATAGACGAGGGGAGAGAAGTGGGAGGGAGGAGTTAAGTGTTCATGAAGAAGAAGAAGAAGAGGAGGAGGAGGAAATGGGAATCATAGAAAAGGAGACAGTAGAAAGAGAGAGAGAGAGAGAGAGAGAGAGAGAGAGAGGATTAGTTTTGCAAAAATTAAATAGAAAAAAGAGAGAAAGAGCATAAAACAAATTCGGCAAAGAGTGTGAAAAATAAAGTCAGTGTAAGTGTGTGTATAAAGGAATCTATATATATATATATATATATATATATATATATATATATATATATATATATATATATATATATATATATAACGATATATTTTATATATATATATATTATATATATTCTATATATTATTATATATATATATATATGAGATAACAATAATATATATATATATATATATATATATATATATATATATATATATATATATGAGATAAGGATACATATTTTATATATCAAGAACCATATTAGGAAGAAATGTATGATAAAATGAAAAAAAAAATGGTGAGACGCGTTTCAATACAGTAGATGAAGTTTTAAAAAATGATATGCGTAACACGAAAACTTTTTACACTTTGTCATACATTCATTCCCATATATATATATATATATATATATACACTGGAATTAAATACAGATCGCATATGGATGGGAATACAACATAATGATAGGATAAATAACAAATAGGAAACGTTTATAAATCTAATATGTTTCGCTTTTTGTTAAAGCTTCATCAGAGAATGAGTTTTGTGTAGTTTTATTAAATCTGATTAACAAATGCACGCCACAAGAATAAATATCCCAGAATTTTCTTTTTCTACAAATTTTATGAAGCTTTAATAAAACCGAAACACGCGCGCACGCACGCACACACACACACACACACACACACACACACACACACACACACACACATATATATATATATATATGAATGATATAAAGTGAGAGAAGCAAAGGCAGAAGAAATTGACAAGAGAATGTAGAACAAAGAGAATTTAAGAGGAAGTTAAATAACTTCTTTTATTTTGGCGACAAACAATTTTAAGTTCCTCAAACTTTTTAATGGCGACAATGAAATTAAAAGCCCTACACTCTTTGACTGTGAACTTTCACCTTATACCATCGCCAAGATGCAAAAACAAATGAATGAAACATTATAATTAATTAATGAATAATGAGAAAACTGAAAGAAAATATTTGATAAATGAATAACAAAAAATCATTTTGAATTTTCTCATTCGTCGATTATTTTTTTTTATTTAGGAAATTGTATTTATTAAATATGGAATGAAATTTTAGTAAATTCAGAATGCGGTGAATGAAAAGAAAAAGAAGAGGTAAAGAAGAAAAGGAGAAGAGAAAAAGAAGCAGAAAGAAAAAGAAAATGAGAATAGTGAAAAAAGCAGAAAGTTGACAAGAATGAAAAAGGGTAGAAAGAGGAAGAGAAGGAGGAGAAAAGAAAAAAGAAGTAGAAGAAATGTGGACAGAATGAAGAAGAAGAAGAAGAAGAAGAAGAAGAAGAAGAAGAAGAAGAAGAAGAAGAAGAAGAGGGGTGAAAGAGAAAGAAAAACTGAAAAACCAGGAGAAAATAGGAAATTATGGAAGAGAGAAATGAAGAAAAGCTTAAAATGAGTTGACGAATGTGAAAAAGAATTAAAAGAATTATGGTATCGAAGAAAAGAAAAGAGAGAAGAAATAAGAAAAAGCGATCAGGAATTTAAAAAAGTGAATAAAAATAAATTTGAAGTATCTTGAGTAAATAATGGTAGAATTATAGAATGTGTATTAAAAGAGAGAAAGAGAGAAAGAAAAAATAAATAAATATAGAAAGAAAGAAAGAAAGAAAGAAAGAAAGAAAGAAAGATAGAAAGAAAGAAAGAAAGAAAGAAAGATTATCGGACAAAAGCAATATCTGGGAAGCAAAAGAAAGAAAGAAAGAAAGAAAGAAAGAAAGAAAGAAAGAAAGAAAGAAAGAAAATAGAACAAAAGCAATATTTGGGATGAAAAAACGGAAGAGAGAAAGAGAGACAGACAGACAAACAGAACGAATGAAAGAAAGAAAAAAGAAAGAAAGAAAGGAAGGAAGAAATAAAAAAAGAAAAAGAAGGAAAGATAATCGAACGAAAGCAATATTTGGGAAGCAAAAAAAGGAAGAAAGGAAGAATAAATAAATAAAGAAAGAAAGAAAGAAAGAAAAAAAGAAAGAAAGAAAGAAAATAGAACGAAAGCAATATTTGGGATGCAAAAAACGAAAGAGAGAAAGATACCTATGGAGAAAGAAATAAAGGAAAAAAGAAAGAAAGAAAGAAAGAATATAGTAAAAATAATTGGAAAGAGTGAATGATATGTAAACACAAAAAATAATGAAAGAAAAACATGGCAGAAAATATTAGGAGAAAAGGGAGAAAAACATTGAAAGAGATTTAGAATGCACAATTGTGAATAAAGAAGGAAGGAAAGAAAGCAAAAACAAAAATATAAAGCATAGAAAATATCTGGAAGGAAAGAGTGAATGAAGGTGAGAATGTCAGAAAAAAAGCTAAAAAGAATCACAAAAGGAAAGAAAATGGTAAAATAATTAGAAAGAAATAATAAACATATATTTGGTAAGTAAAAAACCTGGAGAAAGAAAGAAACCAAAAAAAAAAAAAAAGAGAGACATGGCAAAAATCGCCCGTATAAAGATAATGTGAAGAAAGAATGAAACGAAAATAAGGGAGACATGAAAAGAAATGTCTTTAAAAATGTGAAGAACGAAAGGAAAAACTAAACTAAGGGAGACATGACAATAAATGTCTGTAAAAGAAAAAGCAAAGTAAGGAAGAAAATGAATAAGAAAGATACGGCAATAAATGTCTGTAAAAGAAAATTTGAAGAATGAAAGGAAAAATTAAAACAAGGAAGACATGACTATAAATGCCTGCAAAAAGAAAATGTGAAGAAAGAAATGGGACGAATGAATGAAACTAAAATAAAGGAGACATGAAAATAAATGTCGGTAAAAGAAAAAGTGAAGAAAGAAAGAAACTTAAATAAGGGAGACATGGCAATAAATGTCCGTATAATAATATGTGAAGATAGAAAGAAACTGGAATAAGGGAGACATGAAAATAAATGTCTGTAAAAGAAAATGTGAAGAATGAAAAAGACAAAAATATGGGAGACATGACAATAAATGTCTGTAAAAGAAAATGTGAAGAATGAAAAAGACAAAAATATGGGAGACATGACAATAAATGTCTGTAAAAGAAAATGTGAAGAATGAAAAGAATGAAAATGACAAAAAATAAAAGAAAATGGGAATGAAAAGACAAAAATATGGGAGAGACATGACAAAAATGTCTGTAAAATGTGAAGAATAAAAAAGACAAAAATATGGGAGACATGACAATAAATGTCTGTAAAAGAAAATGTGAAGAAAGAATGAAATACGCTAAACTAAAGGTGGCTCGTCAATAAATGTCCGTAGAACAAAATGTGAAGAAAGAAAGAAACTTAAATAAGGGAGACCTGACAATAAATGTCCGTAAAATACAATATGAAGAAAGATAGAACAAACCTAAGAGAAGGGGAAAATGGCAAAAATTGTCTGTAAAAGGAAACTGAGAAGGAAGAAAGAAATTTGAAACAAGGGAGATCTGCCAAAAAATTATCGTAAATGAAAAATGTGAAGAAAAAATAATAAAAAAAAAAGAAAAAAAGAAAGACTTGTCGAAAAATATCCGAAAATTGAAAATGTGAGGAAAATATGAAGAAAGAAAGACATTTTGAAAAAGTCAGCCTGGGCAAAATGGGTTCCTCAATGGAAATTGTGAAGAAAGATACAATAGAGAGAAATTGCGAAAAATGTTCGTAAAGTGAAAATGTGAAGACAGAAAAAAATAAAGAAATCAAAAAAAAGAAAAAAGAAAAAAAAAAGAGACATGACCAAAACATTCGTAAGTAGAAAAGATAGGATGAAATAAACTTAAAAAGGCGAGATACGATAGTAAATGTTCATTAAGAGAAAATGTGTAAGAAAGAATGGCAAAAAAAATTTCGTAGAGGGATAATGTGAAGAATTAAAAAAGAAAGAAAGAAAGAAAGACGTAAATGGAAAATGTGAGAAAAATAAAAAAATGAAAAAAGCGATACACCGAGAAAAATGTCTGTAAAGGGATTATGTGAAGAAAGCAAAAGAAAGAAAGAAATCAAAAAGTGAGACCTGTCAAAAATATTTGTAAAGGGATTATGTGAAGAAAGAAAAAAGAAAGAAAGAAATCAAAAAGTGAGACCTGTCAAAAATATTTGTAAAGGGATTATGTGAAGAAAGAAAAAAGAAAGAAAGAAATCAAAAAGTGAGACCTGTCAAAAATATTTGTAAAGGGATTATGTGAAGAAAGAAAAAAGAAAGAAAGAAATCAAAAAGTGAGACCTGTCAAAAATGTTCGTAATGGAAAATGTGAAGAAAGATAGAAAGAAAGAAACTTAACAAAGAGTGAGTGAACAGTAAATATTTGTTAAGAGAAAATATGTCAGAAAAAAATAAAGAATACAAACTAAGAAAAGAGAAACATATCAAAAATTGTCCGTAAAGGGAAAAATGTGAAAAAAGAAAAGAAGAAAAAAAGAACACCGAAGCGAGACTGTCCATAAAACATTCGGTGAGGTATATTGGGAAGAAAAAGAAAAGAAAGAAAAAAATAAAGATTGACATGGTGAAAAATGTTTGTAAATGGAAAATGTGAAAAAGAGAAAGAAAGAAATTACAAAAAGCGAGATACGTGGAAAATGTTCGTAAAGAGAAAATGTGAAAAAAAAAGAAAAAAATTTTAAAAGGTGAGACATGTCAAAAATATTCGTAGATGAAAAATGTGAAGAATGAAAGGAAGATATAAATAAAAAGAGAGACATGGCAAAAATATTCACATATGGACAGTGCTAAGAAAGAAAGAAAGAAAGAAAGAAAGAAAGAAAGAAAGAAAGAAAGAAGTAGGAAAGATAATCGAACGAAAGCAATATTTGGGAAGCAAAAAAGGGAAGTAAGAAAGAAAAAAAAATAAATAAAGAAAGAAAGAAAGAAAGAAAATAGAACGAAAGCAATATTTGGGACGCAAAAAACGAAAGAGAGAAAGATACACAGGGAGAAATAAATAAATAAATAAATAAATAAATAAAGAAAGAAAGAAAGAAAGAAAGAAAGAAAGATAATCGAACGAAAACAATATCTGGGAATAAAGAAAGAAAGAAAGAAAGAAAGAAAGAAAGAAAGAAAGAAAGAAAGAAAGAAAATAGAACAAAAGCAATATTTGGGATGCAAAAAAACAGAAGAGAGAAAGAGAGACAGACAGACAAACAGAACGAATGAAAGAAAGAAAAAAAGAAAAAAGAAAGAAAGAAAGAAAGACAAAAGAAGGAAAGATAATCGAACGAAAGCAATATTTGGGATGCAAAAACGAAAGGGAGAAAGATACACAGGGAGAAAGAAATAAAGGAAAAAGAAAGAAAGAAAGAAAGAAAGAAAGAAAGAAAGAAAGAAAGAAAGAAAGAAAGAATATAGTAAAAATAATTGGAAAGAGTGAATATGTAAACACGAAAAATAATGAAAGAAAAACATGGCGGAAAATATTGGGAGAAAAGGGAGAAAAACATTGAAAGAGATTTAGAATGCACAATTGTGAATAAAGAAGGAAGGAAAGAAAGAAAAATAAAAAAAAATAAAACATAGCAGTAAATATCTGGAAGGAAAGAGTGAATGAAGGTGAGAATGTCAGAAAAAAACTAAAAAGAATCACAAAAGGAAAGAAAAAATGTTAAAATAATTAGAAAGAAATAAGAAAGATATATTTGGTAAGTAAAAAACCTGGAGAAAGAAAGAAACCAAAAAAAAAAAAAAAAAAAAGAGAGACATGGCAAAAATCGCTCGTATAAAGATAATGTGAAGAAAGAATGAAACGAAAATAAGGGAGACATAAAAATAAATGTCGGTAAAAGAGAATGCGAAAAAATGTGAAGAATGAAAGGAAGATATAAATAAAAAGAGAGACATGGTAAAAGATTTTCACATAGGGACGAAGAAAGAAAGAAAGAAAGAAAGAAAGAAAGAAAGAAAGAAAGATAATGTGACATGGCGAATAATCTTCTTAAATAGAAAATGTGAAAAAAAAAAAAAACAAAGAAATTTATAAAAAAAAAAAAGCGATACGCCGGGAAAAATGTTTGTAAAGGGATAATGTGAAGAAATAAAAAAGAAAGAAATAAAAACGTGAGATCTGTCAAAAATATTCGTAAATGGAAAATGGGAAGAAAGAAAAAGCGAAAGAATAAAATTTAAAAAAAGAGAGATATATCAAAAATATTCGTAAATGGAAAATGTGAAGAAATATAGGTAGAAAGAAGCTTTTGAAAAAAAAAGAGACATGACAATAAATGTTTCTTAAAAGAAAATGTATAAGAAAAAAAAAAGAAAAAAGAAAGGGACTAAGAAAAGAGAGACGTAAAAAATTCTCTGTAATGGGAAAATGTGAAGAAAGAAAGAAAGAAAGAAAGAAAGAAGAAAAAAGAGTGTAAATCAAGAAAGATGTAAAAAAAGCAGAATTATGTAATAAAACGAATTAGACGTACCGTTAAATATTTGAAGAAATACTTAAAAAAAATCACATCTTTTAGTCAGCGAAGAAGTGCATCATTATTTTTTTATGAATTGTATAAACCGTCGATTTTTTGTCACAAAAGAAGCCAACCTGACTGGAGGCCCCAAGAATTTGGTCTCGATCAAGTAAAGCCTTTGAAAGCCAACAAAAACATAAAGACTTTTTTTCTTCATTTCTTTATACTTTTCGTTTCATTATTTTTTTGTTTTTATGTCGTTTGGAGGAAGAAAAACATTTTGATTACTTAAAAGATTTACCATGTTCTATGGTCGTTTGTAATAAATGATAAATCGTGGGTAGATGCTAGCTTCTTTACACATAAATATACAACCACCTCCTTTGATAATATGATTACATTTCGCAGATGTTTTATCCAATCCATCTGTTTGAAAATCAAGTGTCTTGGAATACGATATTCTCTTTCTCATAAAGGCCTAATTTTCTAATACATACACATCCCCCAAAATATATTCATATCTGATATTGTTTTTTTATTTTTATTTTTAGATATGCCAACGTTAATTCAAGTCGTAAGCAACCATGGCTTTCCACAACTTCTTATCATTTGTATCTTTGAGCGATCCGTCCTGGGTAAGATGATAAACTACATCCGTGTCCTGGGTAAGACGATAAACTACGTTCAACAGCAAGGCCTCTGATCAGGGCGTTTTGAGGAGCGTGGAGCCACCTCTTAATTGCTGGTGTTCCCAGGTCCACCCTGACCCGGAGTGGTAGCACCTGTTAGGGTCCCAGCTATGGGCAAATAGTTAACCCCCACCACCAAACTCGGATCAAAACATTATGAAAGTGTAAAAATGGGTTTTAATACCAGAAATACTTTGTATAAAAAATTGTTACCAGCAATACAGTTTTGAAAAAGAAATACTACCAGAAATACATTTTTTTTAAAAAATATTACCAGAAATAGATTTTTGGAAAAAAATATTACCAACAATGAAAATTTTCGGCATTAAATAACCCATTGAGGTAGATATGCCGTAAAACAAAACAAACCAAACCAAATCTGAGCGATGTATGTTTTTTTTTTCACTATTCCTTCCTCTAATTTCTCTGTTATTGTGTAACCTAGAGAAGAGTTAATGTATAGAATAATCAAACGAAGGTTGATAATGAACGATAATAATTAGGACAAGAACAACACGTATAAGATTCGCCAGCGGCGCGTAGAAGTAGTCAGCTGCTAGAAATGAGTCAATTGAATTTAAAAATGAATCTCCAACTGCAGGATATCTACCAACCGCCCCACGCGGTCAGATGTGGCACAGTGCCGAATTTAATGTGGGGTATCCAAGACCATAGGCTCGGCCAAAGATTCTCCATAGACCTCGTATAAAACGGGGTCAGGTAGCTGTTTCTCGAGACTAGACTTTTCCCTTCGACATAGCCTCGTCTGGGTATGCTCTCCGCCCGGAGTCAGAGACTTTGACCAGCACAGCTGGAGACGAATCTCCAACTGCTGACCAACATACAGTATTTACTACTGTATTTATGTGAATGTGGTCATACCCATTATCGTCCGTAAGTATGCTACAACAGTTGTGCATTTACATGCTCTCGTTAGATCGGCTACTTGCTGTTTTTCTTTGTCATTCTAATAGTCCTGTCCTGTCTTATAGAAAAGACACAGACAGGCAACATTACAGCTGTGAGAAATTGCATGAAGCCGTGCCGCCAGATCAGGATCGAAAATATTGCAGATTCTTCTTTAGATTTTATCAAAGAGCACAAAGTAAATAACAGAGGCACAGTGGACCATTTGTGCCAGCAATATTCTAAGCATGGACGAATATTAGACTTTTATAGATTAAGATAAATTCTGGAGAGAAAAAAATGTCCAGTACGATACAGTGAACCAACTTTTTAGCAGGTGACCTAGCAATGAATTCAGTATAGTTTTTCCACTTCATCAGCTGAGATCGTTATCTATCTATCTATCTATCTATCTATCTTAAATAAAAACAGACCACTTTAAGGTTTCATGTAATAAATTATTTCACCACAGCCCTTTTAAAGGACTGCGGATCATCAGACTTTACTTCCAAACAAAAAATGAAAAGAAAATTTACACCTTTTTAACGGGCCGTATTACACATATGTAAATTAAGGAAGTGAGGAAGTGAGGGGGGAGAGAGAAGACATGAGTGAGTTAGTAGACATTGACACATTTAAACGGTTAACTTAACGGAAGTTATATATTGATATCGAAGGGGTAGAGAGAAAAAATAGAGAAAAAAAAGAGAGGAAGTTAAGAGAGAAGATGTCACTAATTTTCTTTGTAAAAAAAAAAGAAACAGACGCTGTTATTTTGTTCTACTTTTGATATTTCCAACTTCCCGCCGATATTCCTATGTATATTTTTTTTTTGAATGTTTTAAATTTATTCTTCGTTCTTTTATATATATATATATATATATATATATATATATATAATATAAATATATATATATAAGAAATAAAAGAACGAAGAATAAATTTAAAACCTTCAAAATATTAATTTAAAACAGGGCTCAAGAGTAGAGCAATAAATATTTATTATAAATTGTTTCATTAGAACATGTAATTTACTACTACAAAATAGTACATTTTGTTTCGATGTTTAATAACAGGTCTCATCAGGGTACCATAATGGTTAACTACCTGATGAGACGTGTTATTAAACGTCGAAACGAAATATACAATTTTGTAGTAGTAACTTACATATGTTCTAATGCAACAGTTTATATATATATATATATATATATATATATATATATATATATATATATATATATATATACGTTTTTGTTTGTAACAATTGAGGGAAATGTGCAAAATTAACAATGACCCACTCAGTCGTGCAAACTTGGTCCCGTTGACGCGTACTGATCTCGTTATCATACGCCACATATATCTTCAAGAACGCTTTGGTCATTTTTAGAAGTTCATTTTAAGACTTTAAAAATTATAATAAAAAAAATTTAGGGGGGGAACAAAAAATAGATTACAAAAAATATCTGATGATACGTTGCTCTTAGTAAGGAAGAGAAAAACAGACGGACTTTGAAATTACAGATTAAAACTATGAACTGTCAAGGATTACTCAGACCTTCCAAAGTTTACACAAAACTATTGTTCTTTGTGAACTTCCGTAGTAAACATAATATGTGATATTTATGAGGATCATATACGGATATCGTTCCTTAGGAGTTTATAAATTGTACATTGTTCAATTATTAACGTTAACAACGAACTATTTTAAATTACAAAATACGCCACATACATATATTACGAAATAATACATTATTTAGATTATTCGGACTATTGTCCTCATCTTTTTCACAATGTTTATCAAAAGGTTTCGGCCGTTGTACGCTCCAGCCTTCTTCAGGTGGTTAGAATGTCGAATTCGCTCACTGGGGTAGACTGTTTTAGTTCCACGTGCCATGTCTAATAGATGTCAGTTATCTCCTGTTCATTCCCCTCTGAAAGTTCTCCACTACCTTAACCAAGTATTGAACTCACACTGTTTGGGATCTAACCAACGCCTTTATCCTTTATACTATGTGTCCTTGAGAACATCTTTTTATGAATTTCTGGGTATTATAAATCTAATGTCTTCAGCAACCATTTTTACCAGTGCTCATATTGCAATTTTTGCTGTCATCGCTTTTCTCTGACAATCCTTATTACTGGTTCCCATATTGTATTCATTTCTATGCTTGGTCCGCTCAGAAGATTTTTGTGGCCTACCATATGTGCTGATTCCTTGAGTTTACGAATATAAATAGTGTACATAAGAAATATAGACAGATACTGAGATGCAAGTTTTATAAGTAGAAGTGTTTAAAAAAGAAAGACCTGGAGAAATTAACACATATTGAAGGTAAAAAAAATACAGGGGGAAACAGTGAATATAGACAACAAGAGACGGGAAGTTGTGGAGAGCCATGATCACTTGCATCCTGAATGGACACCTGAAAAAAATGGCAGAATAGGGACAAAAAGGTAAAAAATTACTTAGCATAATAAAAAACAGGAAGTTGTGGATAGCCATTTCCACTTACATCCTGAATAAACTAATCACCAAAAAGAAACAAAAATATGACAGAACAGGGACAAGGAAGTAAAAAATACTTAAAACAAGAAAAGACAGGAAGTTGTGGAGAGCCTTGACCGCCTGTATCCTGAAGGGACTTGGCACATGAAGGAAGTGAATGGTTGACAGAAAAGAAACAAAGATGGATGGTAAAGGATAAAAAACTTTGAAGTAAAAAAAGTTTGTTGTAAATATGTAACATTTATGATGATAGAATACAGATAGATTTCCTGAGATGTTTATAAATTGTACATTGTTCAATTATTAATGTTAACAATAAACTATTTTACATTACAAAATTGTACATGGATTACATGAAAATTACTTACAATATAATACATATTACTTATAATACATTCCTTCTTGCTTTCAATTTTGACAGCAATCGTACATACTAATATTTATAGGAAAAGCACATGGAAATTACGTTACCATGTGTCTATTCTATAGGGAACCCAGTAAAAACGCGGCAAATTCAGAAAGATGTGAGACAATCGTTGAAAATTGGTGATGAAAAATTCAGTAAAGAATTTCTGGCCATTTCCCTAATCCCCTCATTGGATATTCTTCTTTGAAAAGTACGATAACTTGACGCTCAAAATCAGTGAGTTGTTTACCAACACGACAAGTGCAGAAGGAAAGACGAAAGTTGTCTTCAAATAACCTTTAAATGACGAGTCATAAGATCGAACAACAATTAATAAATCATAAAAGAACCAATCAGATTTGAGTAATTACGCGGGAGTCGAATGATTATTCAAGGTCATGAATATTCAAGAAATTTATTCAAGGTTATTCAAGGTTTAATTATTCCTGAAAGATAAAACAGTGATAATAAATTTGTCGTTTTTTTTTTGTTTTTTTTTTAACTGGGCGGCCTGTCTAACTAAATCCTAGTAAAAGTTTTAGTTAGGATAAGCGTCCAGTAATGGCTGAATAAATGGTTAAATAAATGCAGCAAAAAAAAAAAAACAAAACAAAAAAAAAACTTCGTTTTTGCGCGTCTGTTTTTGTCTATTTGTCCAATTTATTTTCTTCCTTTACGCAGTCGGTTTCTTCCAAGTTAATGTTAGATTAGCGAAATTTATAACATTAAGTTGAATCATAAGTAATTTTCGTTTTGGGGAACCTCTTGTAATAACGAATATATCGTACAAATTACTAATTATATGTGGAAGTTAAGAATACATTTGCTGCACAAAAATGATGAAAGCAAAAGACTGTCGATGATAATCTAAGAAGCGACCACAAAAGTGTTGCTACAAGGAATGCACATAACTAGTTTTAACTCTTGAAAATTTCATGGTTTTTCTATTTGAATTTTCTGTTGAAGCTTAATTCTTAAGTTAATGATTGAATAAGCTCATGGTGAGTTCTACGACAATAGAATATCGGTAGAAATTTCCCTATTGATAACTATTTGTGGTTAATAAATTTAACAAAATATTGTAATTACAAGCATAAATATAAATGCTGGTCGTTATTTTAAGAAGTAAGGAAGGGGGTACAAATGAAAAGATTTTAAATTGACAATTTTTTTTTCATTTCACTGAAACAGATGTTAAACTCTTATGTCTTCCCTTCTTTTTTTCATTTATTAATTTTCCAATTGAAACGAAGTAGTGTCTTTTCCGCACGATTAAAACGAAATAATTCATTATTTATGAGGTATTGGCAGGATAGGTTAAACACTTCTATTTTTCCCTCTTCTTTCTTTCTTTTTTTCCCTCTTTCTTTCTTTCTTTCTTTCTTTCTTTTTTTTTCCATTTTTTTAATGAAACCATGTAGTTATTTCCCCCTCTTTCCACGCGATCAAAACGAAAGTTTATTATTTTGAGGCATTGGTAGGAAACGTTAAACACTTCTTTCTTTCTTTCTTACTATCATGGTTCTCCACAACTTCCTGTCCCTTTTAGTTTTTAGTAAATTTTCTCTTTTTGTTATATCTCCTAAACTTTGTTCCGCCATCCATTTACTCAAGCTCATTCTTCTTCTATGTGCTGTATCTCTTCAGGACATAGGCGATCATGGCTCTCCACAACTTCCTGCCTTTTGTAGCTCTTAATGAATTTTGTCTTTTTGTTATTTCTCTTAAACCTTATTCCGCCATCAATTTACTCAAGCTCATTCTTCTTCTTCTATGTGTTGTATCCCTTCAGGACGTAGGCGATCATGGCTCTCCACAACTTCCTGCCTTTTGTAGCTCTTAATGAATTTTGTCTTTTTGTTATTTCTCTTAAACCTTATTCCGCCATCAATTTACTCAAGCTCATTCTTCTTCTTCTATGTGTTGTATCCCTTCAGGACGTAGGCGATCATGGATCTCCACAATTTCCTGTCTTTTGTAGCACTTAGGCTACTTCCACAAGATGCTGACAGCCGAAGACAATTTTGGCGTAGACAAGATTATAGATATAATAAATGAAATCTACAACAGCGGGGATATAACGGAAGACCTAAGCAGAATTATTTTCATAGCACTGCCTCAGAAATCAGTCGCAAATGAATGTGAACTCCACCAGACAATCAGCCTAATGAGCCACATAACAAAACTCATAATCCTAATTCTAATGAACAGAGGCGCCCGGCAGAATCAGGCCAGAGATAGGACAAGAACAGTACGGGTTCGTCAAAGACACCGGAACAAGGAAACGATATTTATGCTAAGAATCTTATCAGAAAGAGCAATACAAATGAAAAAGGACGTGTACCTGTGTTTTATAGACTATGCAAAGGCGTTCGACAAAGTATGCCACAAAGATCTGTTTGAGCTTCTCAGCAACCTTGACATATTCAAGAAAGGCATAAGGTTAATCAAGAATCTATACTGGCAGCAAACTGCCTGCATACGGCCAGAAGATGAACTCAGCAGCAAAAATAGAAAGTGGTGTGAGACAAGGATATGTCTTCTCACCGGATTTATTCAACCTATACAGTCAGGCCATTCTGAGAGAATTAGGCGTCCTACCAGGATTCATTATTTGCGGCTCAAATCTTAACTTCTACGGATAGTATTGTGAAAAGGACCCGTGGATGAAATTACACGATGGAGAATGACGCACATAATATCAGGGCTTGTTGATTTTTCACTCTTTTAAAAAATCAATATTGCACACGGTGTGAAAGCGAGGTTTTTGATGTTACAGGTACTATTAGCCCGGCTCAGTGTGGACCTGCGAACAAAAGCAATTAAGAGGTGGTTCCATACTCCTCAAAACCCCCAATCTCCCGATCAGTCGCCTTGCTGCCGGATGTAGTTTATCGTCATACCCAGGACTAGATAACCGCTAACGAGAGACAAGACTAAAAACAGCAGTTGCAACATCAGCAGAAATACCTACTGATGACTTAACTAAAAATTTGACTTCCTCTCGACAAGACATATCAAATTCGATTTTTTTATACTAACGTTCGCTCAAATCAAGGCGCAAGAGTCACTCAAATACAGTAGTAGTAGTAGTAGTAGTAGTAGTAGTAGTAATCCAGATGTTTCTTTTTTGGTCTGCTGGTTTACTGTGTAACTACTACTACTAAAAAAAAAAAAAACAAACAATGGTTAAGCATGGAAAAATATGAGGAAAATTCATTTCTTTTAATAATATGTGGGAATATCCACTGTTTGTCTGATAAAGATCACACACACACACACGCACACACACACACACACACATATATATATATACAGGGTGTCCATAAGGTTTGTGTGCACTTTAAAAAATGTATAACTTTATATGTATTTACGATAGCAATAGTTTTGTAAAATATTTTTTAAGGTTTTATTGAAATTTTATTTAAGTTTCCACATGTCCTCCATCATTAGCAATACAAAGGGTAATACGATTTTGCAGTTCACGGAAAATATTTGCCAACTGATTTACAGTAATGCCTGAAATCACATTAGTTATTTTAGCTATACTTAAAACTAGGTACATTAAACTTTATAACATTTTTACAGATTATTTCTATCGCAAATACAAATGAAGTTATATTTTTTTTAAAGTGCACACGAACTTTAGGGACACCCTGTATATATAAGGTGTGTATATTAATATTATTACAGGTTTAGTTTACAATTTATTTTTGTAACATTGTATCTAAAAATAATTTCATTGATCTCGGATTACAGTCTGAAACGTGTGATTTAATCCGTTAAATCGGTTTTAACCTGTATATACAATAATACGATAATCGCATGACACAAGGTGAAACAAAGTCAATGACACAATAAAAATGAAGGATATTATGCAGTTAAGTGAAGCCTTAACATCAATTGGAATAAAGAGACATTTGAAAAATCTGTCAACACTTTGCTAAGACTTGACTTATACTGACCTGACAGAAAAGCATTTTGTATCTAATAATGAATTAAGCTTTATTTGAAATTTGCAAAACCGCAACAATGCTAACATTGTATCGTGAAGAAAATGGGTGACAGATATTAGTCATTTGCTGTACAAGGTAGAAAGAAAGAAATAATCTTGGAAAGAAAGAAAGAAAGAAAGAAAGAAAGAAAGAAGAGAATGAGTGGAGAAATAGAAAGAAAGAAATAATTTAAGGAAAGAAAAGAATAAGTGGGATATGGAAGAGGAAGACAAAATGGAGTAATGAAAGAATGAAATAAAGAAAAGGTTGTGAAAATAAAAATAAAAGAAAAGGAAAAAGAAAGAATGGATGTGAAGAAAAAAGTATAAAAAGAGAATTCAAGGTAGGAAGATAAGAAGGAAAAAAGACAGATTTTAAGAAAGAAAGAAAGAAAGAAAGAAAGAAAGAAAAAAGAAAGAATTTTGAAAAGAAAGAAAGAAAGAAAATATCTAAGTAAAAAAAGAAAATGAGAGACGAAATAGAAAGAAAGAAAGAAAGAAAGAAAGAAAGAAAGAATTGAATGAATGGGGAGGAGAAAGAAAAGAAAAATAATGAAAAGGAGTATATAAGAAAGAAAGAAAGAAAGAAAGAAAGAAAGAAAGAAAGAAAGAAAGAAAGAATCTTGAAAAGAAAGAAAGCAAGAAAATATCTAAATAAAAAAGAAAGTGAGAAACGAAATAGAAAGAAAAAAAGAAAGAAAGAAAAAAAGAAAGAAAGAAGGAAAGAAAGAAAGAAAGAACGAAAGAATGAATGGGGAGGAGAAAGAAAATAAAAAATAATGAAAGGGAGTATATAAGAAAGAAAGAAAGAAAGAGAGAAAGAAAGAAAGAAAGAAAGAAAGAAAGAATCTTGAAAAGAAAGAAAGCAAGAAAATATCTAAGTAAAAAAGAAAATGAGAGACAAAATAGAAAGAAAGAAAGAAGGAAAGAAAGAAAGAAAGAAATAAAGAATAAATGGGGAGGAGAAAAAAAAGAAAAAATAATGAAAGGGAGTATATAAGAAAGAAAGAAAGAAAGAAAGAAAGAAAGAAAGAAAGAAAGAAAGAAAGAAAGAAAGAAAGAAATTATCTTGAAAAGGGAGAAAGCAAGAAAATATCTAAGTAAAAAAAGAAAATGAGAGACGAAATAGAAAGAAAGAAAGATAGAAAGAAAGAAAGAAAGAAAGAATTGAATGAATGGGGAGGAGAAAGAAAAGAAAAATAATGAAAAGGAGTATATAAGAAAGAAAAAAAGAAAGGAAGAAAGAAAGAAAGAAAGAAAGAAAGAAAGAATCTTGAAAAGAAAGAAAGCAAGAAAATATCTAAGTAAAAAAGAAAGTGAGAAACGAAATAGAAAGAAAGAAAGAAAGAAAGAAAGAAAGAAAGAAAGAAAAAAAGAAAGAAAGAAGGAAAGAAAGAAAGAAAGAAAGAACGAAAGAATGAATGGGGAGGAGAAAGAAAATAAAAAATAATGAAAGGGAGTATATAAGAAAGAAAGAAAGAAAGAAAGAAAAAAAGAAAGAAAGAAAGAAAGAATCTTGAAAAGAAAGAAAGCAAGAAAATATCTAAGTAAAAAAGAAAATGAGAGACAAAATAGAAAGAAAAAAAGAAAGAAAGAAAGAAAGAATAAATGGGGAGGAGAAAGAAAAGAAAAAATAATGAAAGTGAGTATATTAGAAAGAAAGAAAGAAAGAAAGAAAGAAAGAAAGAAAGAAAGAAAGAAATTATCTTGAAAAGGGAGAAAGCAAGAAGGAATCTAATTAAAAAAAGAATGAGAATGGAAAAGAATGAGTGGAGCTAAAGAAAAAGAAAAAGAAAAAGAAAAAGAAAAAGAAACTCCAGTAAAGAAGGAAAGAAATTTTTTAAAAAATTGTGAAAAGAGAAATAAAAGAATGGAAAAAAAAGGATAAATGAATTTTAGGTAGGAAGATACGTTTGAGAAAAACAAAAATTTAAGAAAGAAAGAATTTTGAAAAGAAAGAAAGCAAATGAGACTTTTAGTAAAAAAGAGAAAGAAAGACGAAGTAGAAAGAAAGGAGGAAGGAATTTAAGGAAGAAAAGAATGAGTTTGGATGTAAAAAAGAAGAAAACAATCTAGTAAAGAATGAATGAAATGTGAAAAGAAAAATAAAAGAAAAGATAAAGGATAGAATGAATTTGAAATAGAAATAAAGAATTTACGGTAAGAAGATGAGAAAGATAAAGACAGAATTTAAGAAAGAAAGAAAGAAAAAGAAAGAAAAAAGAAAGAAAGGAAAAGAAAAAAGAAAAAGAAAGAAAGAAACAAAGAGTTGAGAAAGAGAAATAACAAAGAAATAAAGAGAAAAAGAAAGAAAAGATATGTGGTGACAGAAAGAAAGCAAGAAAGCGAGAGGGTGAAAGAAAGAAAAAGAAACAAAGAGAGAGAGAGAGAGAGAGAAAGAGAGTGAGAAAGAAAGAATGATTTGATTGTAATATATCAAAAGATAACAAACAAAGATGTCAGACAATGTACAATGCCTATAGTTTAAACTTATTTATTTTTATTTTATGAGATAGTATAGCTGGTCGTAAGTCCGGGTTATTAAACAGGTAAGTCGTTAAGTGAGTAGTTGCTGCATTCTTTTGTGTGTGTCTGTGTGCTGTTTCCCCTTCAAGACTTTGGGGGTCATATTTCTCTAAAAATCCCTGTCCCTTGTTTCTCTAAACAACATTTGACACTTCACTACTCGTCATTGTCTCCCATTACACCGCCCATTCACCTAGACACAAATTAGCCAGATGACTACCTGTCTCCATTTGTCCCTTCGTCTTTTAATAGGTCCTGCGTGTATTATATTTTCCAAGTAATTTTTCTTATAATATGCCCACCCCACCAAAAAATTATTCAATCATTTCTCATATGTGAAAATTCTCATAGCTTATTCTGGACCGTGATAGTTGGCGTGATAGACTTATCAATGTTCGAGCTAACACGACGGAATAAAATTGTTCCGTTTACAGTTCATCTTCAGAATTTAACTTCAAATCGAGATTCTTTTGCGTCACTGTAGAGGCTTTTTAATGTATGGTGCCACTGATAGGACATTAATTAAAATCCTTAAGTCTAAGCTTGATGGAACTTATACTCTGATGCTCTAGAGATGTTCTTAACATCACCTGAGACAACATCCAACTAAATCACGGCTCTATAGACCCATCCCTGAAAGTTACTACAATCTTACGCGAACGCAGACTGCGATTTACAGGACACTGCTAGCGAGCTAAACAAGAACTTGTGAGTAATCTACTACTCAGGTCACCTATCCCTGGATCAAGACGGGATGGTCACCCAGCAACCACCTGCATTGACCAGCTATGTTATGAATCATTTACATACCTAAGTAGTTAGATAAATTCTACTGAAAAGGATGTGAAAATTCGCATAGATAAAGCCTTAGTCACATTGAATAAAATGGATGTAATTTGGAAATCTGATCTACAAGACAACCTCAAACGGACATTATTTTCGAGCCACTGTAGAGGCGGTTTTAATGTATATTGTCACTGCATGAACATAAAATAAAACCCTACAATCTAAGGTCGATGAGACCTACACTCGATGGTGAGAGATATATTTAACATCTAGAGACAACAACCAACTTCCGGGTGACTCAGTTATCTCCCTTTAATTCAACTCTCGAAGTTTTTGTTCGCCAGGTATTGAACTCACAACTCTCTGGGTTAACTTACTGGATCCAATCAACGCTTTTATCTACTGGGCCATGAAAATATAGACAAATCTTTCATTATGAATTTAAAAATGTCTTCCTACCGCAGCAAGGCAAAAGTCGAGAGACGTTAGAGGATGTTTATTATTATAGCTGAATCAATAAAATCTATCGAAACTTTTACATACACAGGAAACGAAATAAATTCTACTGAAAAGGACGTGAAAATTCTCATAGCTAAAGCCGAGACCACTTTGAATAAAATGGATGTAATCTGAAAATCTGATCTACCAGACGACAACCAAATGGAGATGCTTTCGTGCTATTGTAAAGGCGGTTTTAATGTATGGCGCTTCGTGGATATTAACTAAAACCCTTGAGTCTAAGCTTGATGGAACCTACACTGCTGAGATCTATACTTACCATGTCTTGGAGACAGCATCCAACTAGATCACAGCTCTACAGACCTATTCCTGATATTTCTACAATTTTACGTGAACGCAGAATGCTCTTGCATGACACTGTTGGCGAGCAGAACGTTAACTTGGAATAAATTTACTGCTTTGGATGCAGATTCAAAATTATCTCCCGCTGTCAGCGTCTCGAGGAAGTAGCCTTTTGAAAACACGACACTTCTCGTTCCAAATAGCTAAATTACGCGGCTATTGTAATCTTAAAATTATTTTATACTAGCAGGGAAATCGGTACATTATTTACATTATTCGGACTATTGTCGCCATATTTATTATAACTAACGCCTTTATGCACTGCTCCATGTGTATTTGAGGACACATGGCACAATGGATAAAGGCGTTGGTTAGATCCAGTGACAGGACCCAAAGAGTGAGTTCAATACAGGGCTAAGGCAGTGGAGAACTTTCAGAGGGAAATTAACAGGAGATAACTCATAACTGACATCCATTAAACATGGCACGTGGAACTAGAACAGTCAACCCCAGTGAGCGAAATAAAAGGTTCAATTCGAGATTCCAACCACCTGAAGAAGTCCGGAGCGTACAACAGCCGAAACGTTGTAATAAATATGACGACAAAGATGAGGACAATAGTCCGAATAATGTAAATAGTGTACATAATACCTCATCTCAGAAATATAGACAGATACTGAAAGGCCGAAACGTTGTAATAAATATGGTAACAAAGATGAGGATAATAGTCCGAATAATGTAAATAGTGTACATAGTACCTCATCTCAGAAATATAGACAGATACTGAAAGGCCGAAACGTTGTAATAAATATGGCAACAAAGATGAGGACAATAGTCCGAATAGTGTAAATAGTGTACATAATACCTCATCTCAGAAATATAGACAGATACTGAAAGGCCGAAACGTTGTAATAAATATGGCGACAAAGATGAAGATAATAGCCCGAATAATGTAAATAGTGTACATAATACCTCATCTCAGAAATATAGACAGATACTGAAAGGCCGAAACGTTGTAATAAATATGACGACAAAGATGAGGACAATAGTCCGAATAATGTAAATAGTGTACATAATACCTCATCTCAGAAATATAGACAGATACTGAGGGAAATCGGTATTACTCGCAATGTAATGTTATCAAAATAAAAAAAAAAACAAAAAACAAAATAGTCACTTCATTTAGCCTCTGATCGGGAGATTGGAAGTTTTGAAGAGCGTGGAACCACCTCTTAATTCCCGCTGTTCCCAGGTTCACCCTGAACAAGGGTCCCAGGTTCACCCTGAACAAGGGTCCCAGGTTCACCCTGAACTCGGGTCCCAGGTTCACCCTGAACTAGGGTCCCAGCTACAGGCAAATAGTGAAATCCCTAAAAAAACACGATGAAAGTATAAAAGTACATTTTATAGTAAAAGTATCAGCAATACATTTTTAAATAAAAAAGGACAAACAATAAATTTTTAAAGCCAAATGACCTGCAATACATTTTATCTGTAGTTAAATTTTGCCATAGAATTGTGTTCAAACCATTCATATTTTGGTATTAAATATCTCATAGAGGTGTTGATATGCGACTAAACAAAATCAATCAACCAAGCAAATGTCTGCTTGTTATGGGGAGGCTGGGTAGTCTGGTTTTGCTCTGGAAAGCCACCATATTTCGATGACCACAAATTATGCCTGCTTTTGTTTGTTTGCTGTTGTTAATGCTGACATAAATTATATAAATCTATATGATTCAAAAGCTTTGTGCGTTTGGGAAGCGCAAATTACCATTTAGTTTCAAGAAGAAAAACGATGACAACACGAAAAGCAAAGACAAATTCAAATGCCTTACCGGAAGTCGGTGCCGTCGGCAACACTTAAAATAGAAGCGTTCACAAAAACCAAAACAAGAAATTCGACATCTCCATTGAAAATCGTCAACGATTACCCCGAGGCGCATTCACTAACATCACCGAACATTTTCAAGATTCCCGCTCATTTCCCAGCGGGTAAAAAATCAAGTATATTCGTTTTTTGTTTTGTTTTTGTTTCCTCTTCTTCTTCTTCTTCTTCTTCTTCAAACAATCGAGGTCATAACATCAGTGTCATTTATGAAGATTGATTGACAAATAATGTCTCTCAGCCTACGCCGTGTAAGATTTTATTACGCAAGGCAGTTTTCGCACTTAAATTATTAGTAAGAAAACCTTGTTACTTATGTGTTCAAGATATGCTAATATTTTAATATATTTTCTGTTTATACGTTATTTTTATAGATACACATATTTAAGTAAATGCTCGGTTTATAATAAACAGTATTAACAACATTTACCGGTCCGAATGTCCGAGAAAATTTCATCGAAATTATGTAACCATCGACAGTAATCGAACCTGTATCCTGCACGGAAACCTCATATAGCCTGACGTGCTATACTATTTAGCTATAGAGGAGAGCGTCTGGTTAACCAGTCCATTTCACAATATATGATATCATTTCTTTATGTTAAGATACTCTTGAACAGATATGAGCGTTCGAGAGAAATCATGGGAAATTTGTAGTTTAAAAGCAGTAATTCGGCCTTGCTATCCAGACGCTTTCTCTGTAGCTAAATGGTATAGCACGTCAGGCTCCATGACGGTTCCGTGTAGGATACAGGTTCGAATCCTTCTAGAGGATAAATATATTTTCTATGAAATTTCTCGGACATTCAGGCCGATAAATGTTAATACTGTTTTATTATAGACAGAGAATTTACTTAAATATCTGTATCTATAAAAATAACGTTTAAACAAAAAATATGTTAAAATAATTGCCGGACTTAGTTCATTTCATAATATATGTACTAATATATAATATCTATATGATAGATATAGTATATGGATTTTTGTTCATAATATCTGTTTTCATTACAAATATTGAAATACCGTTACGATTTGTAAATGCTTCATAAATATACTATTCCGTTTTGATTGTGTGGGAAGAGGGGAAAGACACTACTTTCAGTGAGAAAATGAAAGAAAGAAAGAAAGAAAGAAAGAAAGAAAAATAGAAATGTTAAATGTCTCCTGTCAATACCTCATAAATAATGGACTATTCCGTTTTGATGGCGTGGAAAGAGAGGAAAAGACACTGCTTTGTTTCAATAGGGGAATGGAAAGAAGAAAGAAAGAATGAAAGAAAGAAAGAAAGAAAGAAAGAAAGAAAGAAAGACCCAAATGTTTAACATCTGCTTTAGCGAAACGGAAAAAAGTTGTCAATTTCAAATCTTTTCATTTGTATCCCCCTACTTCTTAAACTAACAATCAGCATTCATAACTCTGATTTTCAAAAACGTGCCGTAAATATGGCACAAAACCAAATGTATGGGGCACCCTGTG